TGTATGTGGAGTCGACCATCCTGCCGCCAAACAAATGTCAGAAAAGGCTGAGCCCGAAATAGAAGCTTTGGAGGCCCCTACAGCCCTAGTGGAGTGGGCCTTAACAAATTTAGGTGCAGGGCGTCCAGCAGCCTGATAGGTAATTAAGATAGTCTTAACTATCCAATTACTTATTGTCTGTTTATTCGCCGGACTCCCCCTATTTGAGGGTCCGAAGCAGACCAGTAACTGTTCACTCTTTCTCCAGTTGATAACCCGGTTAACATATGTATTCAGAGCCCTAACTGGGCAGAGTAAGTTTAACTTCTCTTGGTCCGACGACTGAAATGGGGGCGGGTGAAAGGCCTGTAGCACAGCAGGTCTCGCAACATGAGTGGGCACCTTAGGCACGTACCCCGGTCTGGGATAAAGAAAGGCTTTGGACATGCCTGGAGCAAACTCCAGAAATGAAGGTGCAACCGACAAAGCCTGGAGGTCACCAACCCTTTTTAAGGAAGAAATAGCTAATAAGAAAGCTGTTTTAGGTGTCAGAAACTTATCTGACGCCTCCTGCAGTGGCTCAAATGGGGGAACAGAGATGCCCTCGAGCACCAATGTTAAATCCCATGTCGGTACCCTGTGTGTGCTGACAGGCCTTAGCCTTATGGCTCCACGAAGCAAGCGACGAATTAGCGGATCCTGTCCTAGTGACTTATCATCTAGGGGAGAACGGTAGGCCGCTATAGCTGACACGTACACTCTCAGAGTGGATTCAGCTAACCCAGCAAACAGGCGATCTTGGAGAAATTCCAGCACTGAGGCTACCTGACAGCTGACTGGGTTCAGCTGGTGTTCTCTGCACCAAGCTGAAAAGAGAGTCACTTTTAGGGCATAAAGCTTCCTTATGGAGGGAGTCCTGGAGCTTAGAATGGTCTGAGCAACCTCGGTTGACAGTCCATACTCTATGAGGTGGGCCCCCTCAGAGGCCACACCCACAGTTTCCACAGGTCGGGTAGGGGATGAAGTATCATTCCTCCCGCCTGGGACAGAAGGTCCCTCCTGATGGGGATCTCCCACGGGAGACCCGTCAGCAGGGCTATGAGGTCCGAAAACCAAAGCCTGGTAGGCCAAAACGGGGCTACCAGCAGTAACTGTACTCAGACGGACCCTCTCCAGGACTCCTGGGAGCAGAGCGACTGGGGGAAAAGCATACAGACATAGCCTCGGCCATGTCTGAACCATGGCAACCAGTCCCAGAGGGGCTGGATGCAAGAGAGAAAACCACAGTACGCAATGCATGGTCTCTTGGGAAGCAAACAGGTCTACCTGCGCTTTCCCTGATCTTTCCCAAATGGTCTCCACCACCTCGGGGTGAAGTTTCCATTCCCCGGATCTCACCCCCTGCCTCGACAGGAGATCTGCTCCCATGTTCAGATGGCCCGGGACATACATTGCCCTGATGGACAGGATTTTGTTCTGGGCCCACAGGAGGATCCGATGTGCTAGTTTGCATAGCATTCGAGACTTCAGACCCCCCTGATGGTTGATGTAAGCGACCACCAATGTGTTGTTCGTGCAGACTAGAACATGATGGCCCCTTAGATCTGGGAGAAAGTGTTTTAAGGCCAGAAACACGGCCATCATCTCCAGGCAGTTTATGTGCCAGTAACGATGATGTTCTCCCCATCGTCCCGCTGCGGGAAGCCCCCTCAGGGTTGCTCCCCAGCCCGTTAGAGAAGCATCTGTCATAAGCATGACGCGATGACAGACAGCCCCAAACATTGGGCCCTGGGACAGGAACCAGGGCATTTTTCACATACTTAAGGCTCGAAGGCAGCGCCGCGAGACCTTGATCATGCGGAAAGGATTCCCCTTGAGGGAAAACCCCCTAGATTTGAGCCACCACTGCAGGGGTCTTATGTACAGCAGATCGAACGGAATCACGCTGGCTGCTGCTGCCATGAGCCCCAACAACCTCTGAAAGTGTTTCACAGTGATGAACTGGCCTAGTTTGACTCTGTGTACGGCTGACTGAATCGAAGCGATTTATGGCGGGGACAGACGTGCTCGCATCGTCATGGAGTCCCATAACACACCTAAAAAAATGGTCGTCCTGGCTGGAACAAGCACACTTTTTGCGGTGTTCAACCGAAACCCCAACCTTCTGATATGGGTAAGAACGACATCTCGTTGTCGAACTGCCATATCGTGAGTCTGAGCTAGAATTAGCCAATCGTCTATGTAGTTTAGGATACGTATACACTGCATACAAAGTGGAGCTAGTGCAGCTTCGACTATTTTGGTGAAGGTTCGAGGTGACAGAGCTAGGCCGAATGGAAGTACCTGATACTGGAATGCTTTGCCCCCGAAAGCGAACCTCAGGTATTTCCTGTGTCGGCGAAGGATAAAAATATGGAAGTATGCGTCTTTCATGTCTATCGTCACAAACCAATCCTCGGACTGAATTTGTAACACCACGTTTTTGATGGTTAACATCCTGAACCTGAGGGCCCCGACGGACCGATTTGGATTTCTCAGATCTAATATGGGACGCAATCCCCCATCCTTTTTGGAAATTATAAAATACCGGCTGTAAAACCCTGACTCTCTGTCGAGTGGGAGAACACGCTCTATTGCGCCTTTTTTTAATAGGGCCAGTACTTCCTGTTCCATAACCAGAGCCTGTTCTGGCTTCACTATGGTGGGTGTAATACCGTTGAAGCGAGGTGGGCGTGCACAAAACTGTATTTTGCAGCCATGTTCCACTGTGAACAGGACCCACTGGGACACCATCGGTAGGTGTTTCCACGCTGCCAAAAAATGTGCTAGGGGTACCAGCTTCTCGAGACTGGCCTCTGGTTGTTCTTGGACCCCCCCTCCCCGAAGAGGAGGTGGGGCCCCCAATGCCCTCAGACACTGAGAAACGCCCACCCCGGGAGACACAGAGCCCCCACCAACATAAGTGGTGAGGTGGTCTCTCCCTTTCTCCACGGACCCTGGATCACTAAGAGCGCTGAATGGTGCTCTCGGTGTCCAGGGGGGGACCTGGAAAGCCTGACTCCCAACACGTCAGGACTTTGTTTTATCCTTTGTACTTCACGATATGAGGAGCTGGTTGACGGCTGGGGCTGTCTATTAACAGCCCCCTGACTTTTTGATCTTGGGGGGAGAAAGTCCCCGAGGGAGCTAGAGCGTTGTTTAACTCTGTTGAAGGATTCTGGGACGCGATCGACGGCGTCAACGAAGAGCCCTGAGCTCGATATTGGAGCGTCCATAAAAATTGGTCTATCGATTTCTGACAGTTCTGCTTGTGTCAGCCAGAGGTGCGGCTCAGCCGCCACCAGGGTAGCCATAGATCGCCCCAAACTAGAGGCTGCCTCTTTAGTAGCTCTTAAAGCTAGATCTGACGCCCGAAGAGCTTCTCGAAGCTGTTCGGGTGTCGCTCCCCCACCTTCTAGGCACTCTTTAATTAGGTCAGCCTGATATGCCTGCAGCACTGACATTTTGTGCAGGCATCCAACAGACTGACCAGCCGTCATATATGCTTTCCCGACTAGACCCGATGTTACTCTTAATGGTCTCGATGACAAAGGAGGGACCCTTGCAGATTTTAGATCTGGACGACGACGACGACGCGCTAAGTCCTCTTCTATCATTGGCATTACTGTACATGCCTTTTCCCCTAGCCCACGAACTGCTGAATAAATAGCTGTTTTTGGTGTCATTAACTGTGCTGAATACGGATTTTTCCATGATTTAGAAACCGCATCATGTAGCTCGGGACAAAAGGGGAGGTCCCTTAGTGGAGGATCTACTCTGCTGGGTAATTCTCTCTCATCCAGCATTCCTGTCAGACGCAGCTGCTGCTGCTCACGTGCTGACTGCCAATCTATTACTTCAAACCTGTCAGCAGCATGTGAAATCACCTCCACTAACTCCTCATATTCCACTGACTGGGGCGGCAGATTCCCCAACCCTCTTTGCATTTGCTGCTGCGGCGCAGAGCGTGCTTCTGACGCTCCCGAAGGAGGATTAGATCCCGGATCCAGAAAGAGACAGGACAGAGTCCGTCGCCATCTCATCCGCCAGATCTAGCTGCGAACCCCACGACCGAAGTCGACGCTCAGCATCAGCACAAGCGGGACCCGAACCGCGAGGAGCGTGCGCCACGAGAGCTTTATTAAAGAACTCCCTCCGACTACGCAGCACTTTACGGGAGAGAGCGTCACAGTGTCTACAGTCAGCATTCTCAAATGCTGCCAGGGCATGCTCTTCTCCCAAACACTCTAAACACAAATCATGTGAGTCACCAGCCGTAATTAAGCGAGGGCATGGAGGCGCACAACGTTTAAAGTTTTTCTCTGCCATATCAAAATAAAAAAGTTGTCAGTTTTTTTGTATTTTGTGTATGCAAGTCAGTAATGAAAGTTCACAGAAAGAGGGTGTATTTTCACATGCGTGCTTCTTGAAAGCAAAGAAGTTGATACCGAATGCTCAGTACAGGCTTTTATACTCTCTGGTCTGACGACACCTGCTTAATTACATTAGATTGATTTCACATGTGCTTCAAGACGCGTATAAAAGAGGTGTTCCCCCTAGCGTTCTGGTTAGACGCAGTGTTGAAGTTCCCTAGATGGGGAACCTAATTTAACAGCTTTCAGGTCAAAACAAACAAACAAACAAATAAATAAACAAAAACACTTACTGTTTTGTGGATCAGTATCACATAATTGCACTGCAAATATTAAATAGTAGACCTTAACCGCAAATGATTTTGCTACTCACATTATCATATATCATGTTGTCGTCCTCTTACTCTGTAAATATCCTTCTATTATTCTCCACATGCCATTACAATAATAATCCATTAAGTAAATGACAATGATTAACACAATTTAAGACCATAAATACAGTAAACTAATCGTATTCCAAATCAGACATAATCACCTCAAATGGCAAGTTAATTGGGCTTGTTCCTCAAGCAGTTAGACTTCACTTTAACACTTTTGTGTTTCCTGCAGTGCTTTGCGTCCTGTTGGTGAGGATTTAAGTGCTGTAATGTGACTTGTGTCAGTCATTTAGGCCGATCAATCCCAGAGGAGAACTGCCAATAAAAGCTAAAGTGAGCATTGCCCTCAGTGTAAGACTGGAGGCTGGGGAAAGGGATAGTAAAATATGCTTTACATTTTTTGAGTGTATTACTGGCCCGTAGCCACCGTATTGAAAGAGGTGGTTCTTTTCTCAAAAAGTAAAACTTGTTGCAGTCATTTTCCTCAGTTTCTATTAAATGATTAGGATCAAATTATGCACTTTAGAAACATTTTAAGCACTAATCTTTGCTGTATTAGCTTTTCGGATGGTGATCATAACCACTTTTTAAAGCAACAAAAATATTTACTATACTTTTGGCAAAGTGTTAACCATTTACCACAACGTGTTTATTTAGAAATTGTCATTTAAAGTTATTACAATTTTATAAATAATGTTATGAGATTAGAATTTTATAATTAAAATTTTTTAATAAAGTAGGGGAAAAAAAGACTTATTTTTAATCATGCGTCATTACAAAATAGGAATCTGTTAAAACTTGTAGCCAGGTAAATAACACACTGGTCAGCTTATTTCCTCAGTCAGACTTTGTAAATTTGAATGATTAAACATTTCATTTGTCTTAAAGCCTTCTTCTAGCAGTTTTTTTTACAATATATGATGCCATAAATTGGGGGTGGGGGGGTCTTTCAACAATCCCAACCCGCCTTGGCTACGGCCTGTAATAGGATGTGTCCTAATTTTTTTTTTTTTTCTGAGCATAACATAATGAATTTACACAATTTTCCCATGGACTGCACACCCCTTAAATGTCATTTCAGGAGTTTACACAGTTCACACTTAGATCAAGTAGGCCTTCAGATCTCCTCTGGTGAAAGTGGAAAAGGGGGAGATGAGGTGGACAGAGGATTCTTCAAAAACAAAGATATGGGAGGTAAGACCAAATTGGCTATTTACTTTAGGCTTGGATTGATCTGATTGGTTTATCAATGATTGTAGATGTGAGACCAGCCGTGATCAATCATGACATGTGATCCTTTCGAATTTAGCTTATAAATCTTCACTCAATTTAACAGCAGTTTTTAAACCCAAAAAGTCGTATGTACAACTACAATAAGAAACATTTCATGAGATCACAATATTTTATAATAATATAATAGTTTATTTGTATAAATAATTAATGTTTCAATGCAGCTTTACAAAAGGTGCACATTAATGCATCATAATCAAATTAAGCTAAAGTTACGATCAAAGATAAGTTATTATATACAGACATAGTTAAGCTGCAATCTTACTGCATGTAGGTAATATCTTAGAGCAAATAGAGTAAAAAAAAAAAGTTAAGGTCAGAATTATAAGCCCCACGTTTAAATTTCTGTTTAACGGAGAGCAGATTTTTTCCAACACATTTCTAAACATAATAATTTTAATAACTCATTTCTAATGACAGATTTATTTCATCTTTGCCATGATGACCGTAAATAATATTTGACTAGATATTTTTCAAGAGACTTCTATACAGCTTAAAGTGACATTTAAAGGCTTAACTAGGTTAAATAGGTTAACTAGGCAGGTTAGGGTAATTAGGCAAGTTATTGTATAACAATGGTTTGTTCTGTAAACTCTGGTAATTTAATTTGATGTAAACAACAAAAGGGGACTTTTTAGGATTTTTTTGTTGAATTTTGAACAATTGTTTGAATATTATTCATAATTCCTTCATATTCAGTAATTAGCTTCTTCGTTTGAAAATAAAAAAAGGCTAAATAATTGTATTTAACACATGAAGTCATTTAAACCACAGTGTAAGATGTGTTATTGAGAGTCCATTAATTTTAATACATTACATCATGCAATACATACAGTTGTAGAATTACAAAAGTCTTTTCTTTACACAGAAAATGAATCCCATACACTTTTACCTCATCCTTACATTTTCAGTGGCCCCGGCTGGAAAAAAATGCTGTTTGAAAGTTGTGTGCAAACATACAACTTAGCTTTTTCAGAGACCAGCTTTCTTCTCTTCAATTGTAATCCAAACCTGTCACCACATACTGATTTATGACTTTCACTGGAAGTAATGGATTCCTGAACAAACAGACTTGCTGTATCTACATATAACAGTAGAATTGATGCAGAGTTCCATTAACCTACCGATGTGTCTCTTCATAGTGTTCATCATCATGTGAAAAAGATCTTCACAAATGTCCCCTTGTCCTTCACCTGTCCTCTATCCAGCACTGTCAAGTCTCAGGTTGTCTTCTGCTACAGGTGGGCCAAAAGAGACTGACTGGTAAGAGATGAATAAAAAGAGAGAGAAGTGAATTGATGAACAAGTGAACGTGAGCAGAAGAATGTATGATTGAGTGTAGCACAACAGTGACCGCCTACTATTTTCTTTTCTTTCTTTTTTCAAAGTAACAGTTCACTCAAAATGAAAACTGTTATTTTTTATTTCCCCTTATTTCATTCCAAAATGATTTTCTTTCTTTTGTGGAATATTAGCAAGGATACAGTCATTTTGTCCCTGAAGTGTTAAACAGAAGTATATGTTGATTAAATTCTTGTTGGAAAATTACTAGGCATACGATACGATAATAATTGCTGTATTCTGAATGGGATAACTCCCCATCTGAAATGTTTTTCTGAGTGAAAACGATTAATGCCAAACACAAAAATGTGCGCATTGAACCTTTTGAACAAAGGACATTGGAGGGTACTTGTGATGGACACTTTCTGCTGAAAGGGGTGGTCCAGAGTGTAACATGAAAACGACTGTCATATTTCATAGTTTCTCCAAAAGCCCGCCCTTAAGAGGCTCTGATTGATCAGCTAACATAATGTGCTGTGATTCGCGGATTGGCTTTAAGTCACCAGGAAGCGTCATGTCCAGTCACGTTTCTACTAGCATGCACTCTGCCTCTGCTGTGTAAATACTGTCAGTCAGTGTGAGCCTGATTTAGACAATGAAGATATATATTTTTTATAATTCTCTGGAACATAATTAACATTAAACTGTAAGCACTTATCTCTTTGTGTCGTGTGCTTTAAAAGCCTGAATACAGAAACAAAAGACGCTCTGTGGAAATAGCAGTGTTTGGACGACATTTAGGCTTTCTTTGCTATAACAATACAGTGCCACGCCCCTTCACTACGTGGGGTTTATGCGCGTGGTGAATATGCATAACCTGAAGGGTTTAAGATCGCATTATCTCGGATATATTATTTTTTGTATTCCCCAAACTTTGTTCGTTGTAGGCTTTGCTGAGCTAACTCTGTAAACAGGCAATGTCTCCCTTTGCATTGAACTTTGAATGTATTACACCCTGTTTGTGTTCACACAGATACTTTACACATCAACTAAAGTTTAAATGAGCATTATCACTTGAGTAGCAGTGCGATGTGGCTGTATATCGTCACTGGTGGGAGGCGTGCGTTGGCATGGGCCACAGGCCGAGTGCCTTAGTGTCCCATCATTGATGATATACAGCCAAATTGTACTGCTACAAGTGTGATACTGAATGTATACAACAATTCAATAATAATTAACCCCAAACAAGTCAAAGCAAAGCAAAAACTACCAGAATAAATAAATAAAAAATAAATACAGCACTACAACAATTAAAAGAGAGGGATCAACTCAGAATGTCACTTACCAGATTTATAATGATTTGATCAGCTGTAGTTTTACATTGAATTTTTCTCCTCTAAGGGCTTATGTGGTCTCTGTCACCATCTTTGTAGATGGACAATGTCAACCACCTTTACTCTACTACAGAACAATTACATTCTCAACTAAAAAAAAAAAAAACTCAAAAGTACATTATGTTGTCCAACAGCTGCAATTTTTGCCAAACTGAAGTCCTCTGCTTGCCACTTGTGTGGGCAGAGTAATACACAAGAGGGAAGAGGCTGTCATGTTCTGATATTGCAGAATATTGCACGGCTATCAGCAAATCAGATTCGAAACTGGACAGAACTGTTGTATAAAATATGATATCGTAGTGGACCACCTCTGTATTTCTGCGCATGTTTTATAGTGAAGCTGACTGATTTGATTTTTGGATGAATTTCACGTTCAATTAAATTGACAGTGCATTGATAATGACCAAAACACATTGAATAACAGTAAAAAGTAGCAATTTTACCCAATAAATGCCTTAATAATGTCAACGAATTTATATATAGTCAATCAAATGAACTTTAACGATTAAAATGGCAACAAACATTTATTTAGGCCCGAACTACAAAACTAAATGTAAAACAATTTCAGTATCAGTTTTGCTTAAGTTGCACGCTAGTGTTGCAGGTAAGGGGAAATAGAATATTTAGGGGAGTAACTCATTTCTTGTAGAGCTTGAGAAGCATACAGTACTATCTGATCTATAAAATTTGTAAAATAAACATTTGCAGGTTAAAGAAACAGCATAGGAGGAAGTTGCCGCAGGCCTTAGTGCAGATGAAAAGTTTAAAAAGTGTATTTGTATATAGAGAGACATGGGTAACTAGATAGAATAGACAGAGATAGGTTGATCTCTGCAGCAGCTGCCGAAGAGCTGCGCGCTGCAGACGCAGCTGGTGTGAAAGGCAAACGCCTGCATGCTGCTTCTGCTCGACATATGCGCTGCGCACGCTCTGCTCAAGCACTGCTTTCGCTTGCGGTGTGAGACAGGCGTTATTGTTTATACTCACACCGAGAGGGGTCTGGATGCAGACCTGGTGCAATGCAATCTAAGCTGCATCCAACGCTTTTTAATGCGCTCACCTAACCCCACCCCTAACCTTACCCATCACAGTAACATCATTCACTCCATTGAGTGCATTGTGTCTGACATTGCATCGCTGAGTGATGCAATCTCAGCTTGCAACATAAAGGCTGCATCCAGATACTATTGCTCACACCTGTGTGAACGATAAGGTACAAAAGACTAAACGCAATTCAACGCCCTGATATACTCATGGCAAAACTGTTTTGTTTATTGATTAAAGTAAAAATGTTTTAAATGTCTGTAGCAATAAAATTCTAGAACAAAAAATAAACTAAAATTTCAATTATATTATTTTCCCTCCCTTAATACAAACAGTTCTTTAAACATCTGGAAATAAACAGAATTACTTAAAACCACACTTCTAGATTCTGTGAATAATATGTTATGCATTCATATATACTGTAGTTCTTTTAATAAATGTTACAGGAGGCGTTCAAAAAATTGAGAAAAATGTTTATAAAGTCAAAAAGTTGAGAACTACTTGGTCTACAGAAAAACTTTTTCACACAACAAATCTGTTCCATAAAATTGAAATCTGGGTCATCTATCAGCATGAAATCACAGCACTTAACAGAAGTGTAATTAGTTGAGTGCTCTGCTCGAGAGAACACCTCCACTTCTCCCCCAGCGCAGAGACGCAGGCAGCTGGTGCCTATTAGAGCAGCTCACTTTGCCTGTCGGATGCTTGAGGGGCCAAGTTACCTCGCACAAAGCTTGGTTCTGCCCATTGTCAAAAATTTACAGCATATGACAGGATTCTCAGAAACTGGTTCCTCTCTTCCCAATTTCTATATCTGAGGTTAACTGTTGATGGGTGATCTGAGAATAACTTGAGGGCCTTGAAAAAGCAAACATGATAATCTACTAGTTAAAGGTGCAGTAAGTGATCTGCCTAAATGCTATCTGTTAGCATAATATCTTTGAAAACACAGTCCCTTCCCTGCCGCCCATAGCCCCGCCTCTTAAAATCACGAACATGTACCTAAAAGATGACCGAGATCCACTAGATCAGTGGTTCCCAACCTTTTTCTTTGGGCCCCAAATATATATATATATGTGTGTGTGTGTGTTTGTGTAATATTAATATATAGTAATATGTATAGAAAATATTAATTAATCAGTTTTAACTTGTCTTGGCCTTCAATAAAACCAAAATCTAGGTAGGCTTTGTCATACTGTCTAATCTTTTTCTTCGCCTCTGAAGAATCACTGCATTTACGTTTGTCTGCCATTTTTGTTTTGATTTTGCCTTTACGACACGTTGACAAGCAGATTGCGCGAGTGAGCAAAATTTAAATAATTATTTAAAGTTATTTATTTTAATTATTTTCACTATTATGTTGGAATTTTAAGTATGTGTTTAGATTTTTTTTTTTTGGTACTTAAAAATACATATATAATAGTAGGGCTACTCGATTTTGGGAAAAATCATAATCACGATTATTTTGGTCATAATTGTAATCACGATTATTCAAAACCATTGCCAGTTAAAATCTAAATTATTAGCGCTCCTGAGATTTGTTTTTTTTATAAATATTTCCCAAATTATGTTTAACAGAGCAAGGAAATTTAACAGTATTTCCTATAATATTTTTTCTTCTATTTGTTTTATTTTAGCTTGAATAAAGAAAGGTTTAAATATTTTGAAACCAATTTAAGGTCAATATTATTAGCCCCCTTAAGCAATATATATTTTTGATTGTCTGCAGAATAAACTACCGTTATAATGACTTGCCTTATTACTCTAATTAAGCCTTTGAACTGCACTTTAATCTGAATGCTTTTATTTTGAAAAATATCTAGTAAAATATTATGTGCTGTCATTATAGCAAAGACAAAAAGAAATCTCAGTAATTAGAAATGAGATATTAAAACTATTTCTATATGTTCAGAAATAAGTTAATAAAATAAAATATTCTTTCCATGAAACAGAAATTGGGCAGGAAAAGGTTTGCTAATATTCAAGAGGGCTAATAATTCTGACTTCAACTGTATACATACAGTTATTTTCCACCCTGCAAAGGAAAGAGAAATAAATACAATAGAATAAAATAAAAATATGAAACAAACTGTGCTTTAAGCATCTTCACTGTAACAAAAACACTTTAGCTACAGCAGTCCTTCAGTCAAGAGCAGCGAGGGTTGTTTATTACACAAATGAGGGTTAATGTAAATAATCACGAAACACCGCGTTTTGACACCTATTTGACCATTAAAGCGCTCACGTTAAGATGACTTTAGATGTCTGCGCTCCTCTGCTCGTCTCAGTGTGCGAATGAGAGTGAATGCTGACCGGCCGCGGGCTTCTGACTGCGTGATCGTGCTGCACACACACATAAGCTCTTTCGCGCTTTTAAGAGCAACACGTGTACAACTGGAACGTGGCAAAATATGATGCAATAATCATTTATCTCGATTAATGCTTTTTTATAATTGTTTGAAACCGAAATCTAAATCGGATATTCGATTAATTGCAAAGTCCTTTATAATAGTGGAGCATTTTTATGCCTTTTTCTACCTCAATACTT